TCAAAATATCGTTCAAGTCCGTCAGCGGTCAACCCTGCGGATGCTCTTCCAAGCGCTTCTGGTGTCCACTTCGAGATTTCAGGATGCCTTCATTGAAACTTGTTCAACCATCCTGTCGATGGTATTCCTCGTTTGAAAGTGCTGCCTTGAAAGGATGCGATTCCGGAGACTGCTTCGAGTATCTCCTTTGTGATTTGCGACATCCAGACACAGCGCATAGAAGAATCCAATCGACCTGCAGCTGTTCATGTTAAGCACTTAGAACTGCATCTTTCCCAAGTCGCTGGCAGTGAATCCCCTTCAGTTTGACGCTTAACGTTGATTTTGGGATTTCATGCTTTTTGTTGGCCGCATACGCAATGAACCACTTTTGACCTAATCCAGAGCCTTTTGCAGTGTCTCAGGGGAATATTTTATGGGTCGCATTTCAAGCAGCTACGGTGAGAAGAGACCATGAGGCAGGACCATGTGACCGATCTTGGTGGTGGATTCGAACCTCTCCTTCCATTCCCATTAAGCATCGATTATTTCCAAGGCAAACCGTCAACTTGGCTTTATCTCTAAAATTGCTATATTGTTCCATCGTGCGACCGATTCTAGAAAACACTTTACTCGTATGGGCTCCAAACGACGTTACATGGAACCTAAGAATAGAGCGAGTCCAAAAAAGGTTCATACGGCTTGCTCTCAGGAATCTACCATGGCGTGATCCGTCTAACCTTCCAGCGTGTCCCGCTAGATGCCGTCTACTTGGTCTTGCCGAAACGCTTGATCGAAGACGAAAATTGCAGCAAGCTACGTTTGTCGTTAAATTACTCAACGGTGACGTCGATTGCTTCTATCTCCTATCGGGATTTGTTTATTTGGTTCTACATCAACAGACTGGGTTTAGTCCTAATGATGGATTAAGCAATACTAGGTGATACAATATAGTCAAGAAGTAACAAGCTGCAAAGACCGTGAAGTCCAACTTAATTCCTTAGTCTTAAAAATATATCACGGAATCTCTGACGCAGCGTCTCTCGTGCCAAGTGAAAATCAAATAAGGAAGCAAAACGATTGAAAACCCTTTGTAGCCCATTGATAGCACCATACGAACTATAGTTTGTACGACGAAAAGGTATCCTCAGCATTGCGTTGTTACGGAGTGCTAGAGTAGAATAGAAGGACAATCGAATCTGCCCTATAGAATGTCTGGCACAAACTGGACCCTTGCCGTATCGTATCGACTCCACAAAGGATCCAGGTGAATTAACTGGCACCGACTTTCGTAGCTTGGCAGGCGATGAGGAATCGTCGAAAGCGCAAACCAGATGAATCGTCGTTGAATAGACTCTACTCGTTGTACACTGTTTTGGTAATTGGGATTCCATACAGGGCAGCAGTATTCTAACACCGACCGGACGAGGAAGCAGTAAAGCGACTTCAAACAGTAGATGTCCGTGCAACTATTAGCTATCCTGAAAATGAAGCCGAGCGTTCTGGATGCCTTGTCAATCACGTACGAGATATGCTGGCTGTATGTGAGTTGACAATCTAAGATGACTCCAAGATCCTTAATGTGATTCACACGATGTACACCAACGCCTTCTAGGATGTAACTGAATGTAATTGGATGTTTCTTCCGTGAGAACGTGATTACTGAACATTTTGTTGGATTTACAACCATGCGGTTCAGTTGGCACCAATTAGCAAAAGCGTTGAGTTGGAGTTGGAGAAGGTGGTAGTCAGCGATAGATAGATTTTCATGTCGTCTGCGAACGACAGTCATGGACCGTCGAGGACGAAATTGAAGTCGTTGAAATACACAAGAAATATCAACGGGCCGAGGTGGCTACCTTGCGGAATACCAGAAGTGGCAGGGAACGAAGGAGATCGGCAGACGTCGATTGCAACTTCCAACTGACGATAGGATGCGAACCATCATAGGAACATCTCAGCTGATTTCCAGCAGCAAGGAAACACCCCACTGGAAAGGGACATTTCGAACAGAAGGCAGAGCGGAGCCACCAGGCTCCAGGATGTGCTGCTTGAGAAGACGGAAGGAACTTCGTCAGGTTCAGGCTTAAATGAGGACTTCAGTTGCGAAGCCGCCCTAGTTATCCATAGCGAGGTCGATGTTGATAGCTGCCAAAGAGTGACCAGACATTATTGGAACATTACTGGCTGCTAGAGAAACGTGCTCGTCAGGTAGGTTCTCATCCGAGAATAGGGGGATGAAGCTTCTTCGCCGTTCGGTACCATAGTCGATGGAAGGCCAGACTCCTTTCGTTGCTCATTCACATAATCGTACTCTGTATGGTTATAACCAGCCTATATCTGCAATGGTTCGTTTGTTTGCCTCGGTTGAATCCGCGTTCAATTTTGGTATGTCTACGCCTCAATTTGTAAATAGAGTAAGAAGATTGAACATAATTTAGATATTCATTAAGACTGTTTGTCAAATGATTTACTAAACAATAAATAAACAAAAACTTTTTTGAAATACTCCTAATTTCTGAGAATTTTCGTCAGAATTTTCATTGCATTAATTTCAGAATTCCTTTTGGATTATCCTTCTTCACTTGGAATTTAACTTGCGAGTACCTCGGAGTTCTCCTTAGAATTCCCTATCAGTTCTCCTTTCAAATCCCTTAGAAAAAGTCTCATCCAAATTACTTTGCAGTTTTAGTCAGAACTATCTTTGAATTCTCGTTGGAATTGCATTGAAATGCTCCCCAAAATTCCCTTGTGAATTTACTTTGAGTCCCTTGGAGGCGAACCAGCCAAGGCTGAAAGCCTCCCTAATAAAGATAAATAATAATAATAATACTTTGAATCCTACTCAGGATTCCCTTGAAATTCTGCTCATCAATACCTTGGAATTTTCCTGGAGACCGGAATGCTCAGATTTCACATTCGTTCATAAGCTTTGGAACTTTTGCAAGGCTTTTAATTTATTTGTAATCTGGGTTCTTGGAATTTATTCCATGTCCGTAGTCTTGAATAATTCGCTCCAGATGCTCGAAAATTTCTGCAAGTTTGATTTCATTAGGTTCAATTTTTTTCAATGGTCCAAGTTTAAAATCTGTTCCAAAACCTTAAAAACACAATTCAAGCCTAAGAATGTACGTTCTTACTGAAAATAAATCCACTCCAAAATAATTCTGCTCAAAAAGTAAAAGTAGCTAACGAGAAAGATAAAACCGGTCATATCATAGAGCATTTTTTAAATCCTGAGAAGGTTCTCTGGCGTACTTCAATATATTCAGGCTGGATTTCTGATTAGAGCTATTTTGAAATTTCTCGTGAATATGTCAATGAATACTTTTAATTCCTCTTGAGGTTCTCCTCGGAAGTTCCATGAAATCGTTTTAAGAATTCTCTTGAAATCATATAGATCTAGAATTGCTCTGAAAGTCTCCTCAGAATGCGATAGGTTTGGAATTCTTCCCAGAATTCCCCAATCAGTTCAATACCGAAAGCACAGATTCTTCGCATTCCCATACATCCGCAAGGGTCAGATTGTCATTTTCATATGCTTAATCAGTTTTTTACAACTGGAATCTCTTACAGAATTTCTTAAAATATAGAAAACTCTCTACAACCGACATTGAAGGGACCATCGAGTTATAGAACAATAATCCCATACGAAATCGCTATCACATTACAGTAGCCATGAAATTCATGTTTACTATGGTTCTATAACTCGATTTCGTGTTAGTGGACATCGAGTCGTGGATAGTTGACTGTATAATTGTTACGCGTAACTCGAGCACCGCTTCAACAAAGTGTAACACTTTTCTACACCCCCCTTCCCCCTATTGCGATACGTAATTTGTGAACATTTTTAGCAAAAATTCTCCCATTCGATAGTTGTGACAGGTTGCGTTAGGCAAGCTCAGATACTCGAAAAAGAAGTTAGAGGTTTTGTTTACTAAAGCTGTCCTTTTCTATCGTTGGTCGTGAATAGTCCAGGATTTGAGCGGTGTCCTAAAATTTCTTCAAGAAATTGAACATTGTTCCACAATATTTTAAAAGCTGCTACTAACCTCGAGGCGAACGCGAGTAATCGGCGCAATTCCTTTAACTCTAGATTTAAGACAATAATTATGAAAAACGCAAATGATAACTTGGCTCTGTAAAGTTTATTCGATTGAGCCTGTGCAAATAAATTAATACACAAAAAACAATTTAAAAGCTTAAAACTTTTTCTGATGTATTTTCCAGGTCCTCCAATTTCCTGCACACGCCAACGCTCCCATCTTACGTCCACGTCACTTACTACCATCGCTGAAGAGCGCATTGTTGTTGTTTTCGTTGTCCTCCTAAGACGGCGGCAAGAGGCAGGCGAACAGAGCGACGAACGGCGGGTGGAAAAACAAATTTTCCTCCCACTGCCGTCCACCCGCCAGTCAACTTCAACTTTCTCCCGTACGCGGACCGGCCGTGCTTATCGTTTGATCATACACACACATAGATCCAAATTCGACTCCTGCTAGCGAAAGCAGCAACACCAACACAATATCCTGAAGCGAAATGCCACAACAAAATAGAACCCTGCAAGTGAAACCCTACGGGGATTCTGTCTGCTGCAGTCCGACCGCTTGCTCCCATCCGCATCTCAACCGACGGCAACCCCCGAAGGAAAGGAAATTAAAATCGATGCGATCTGCTCGTTCCTTGGGATAGTTGGCTGTTCGGTGGAAAACTAGTTCACCTGTCTTTCCCCCAATTGATACGGACCAAGTCGAAAACCACCCACTCAACCCACCACACATCATGGGTGGCGAAGAGGGTTGTAAGCCACGTTCGCTGTATTGGTGCTGTAGACACACACAAACACACACGGTATAGTTCGTTTTTCACTTTCACAGCGTAGATACATCCTAGCAAGACCTCATTAAAGGACGTAAACCTTGTGTCCTTTTTCCGACTCGTAGCAAACCCAGACTGCTCGGTGTCGAAATGGCTCAGACGTGTCCCAATTCGATTCTTATCAAACAAAGGAAACCACTTACTTCTAAAACTCCGCGCGTCATGTATCTTTGGATCTAATCCTCCTACACAATCCTTTGCGACACGTTTCACTTCACTAGCTTCAAGACGGAAGTTTTTACACATTCGGAACGGCTCATTACGGCCAACATGCAATCAATACAGTCGTTCTTATTTAGCTCTCCATGAGCCTGGTCAGAACCTTCACACCCGGTACGGCTGAAAATGTCAATCCGTCAGCCGGACAGTCGCACAGAAATCCTGCTCAAAAATAATACACAACCGGGGAAAATTGTACACACGTAGCACGACACCACGAAGACACAGCGGTCCGAACTGTTTTGCGAATATAACTGAACCGTACTCCAATGCATACACACGCTTCAGCACCACAATCCGAGCGTACGAACGGACGAGAATGTACACACTCTGGCGATGTGAGATGGTAGATTGTAGCTTGGTTGGTTGGTTGGTTAGTTGGCTGCTGCCGCACGGCTGTCTGGGTTACAGCACCGTTTGTCACTCTTTTTCCATCCTCCCCGGACATGGGTGGTACGCCTCGTGCGCGTCTTCTCGCTGATACCGACCACAACTCAGGAACTCACTCTCGCGCGCGCAGAATCAAGCACCAGCACCACCATGCGCCGGAACTCAGCGGGTACCGCTTCGCTGATTGGTGGATTTCAGTCGTTCGCTCTCTCTCTCTCTCTGCACACATGGTTCTCCAAGTGAGCCAGCCAAATCTGAGTGGGCATATTCTCTTGCGTTGCCACGGTGATGTATTCACGGATCACCCCTCGTTGGCGAAAAAGCTATGCTTGAGAGGGCTTATGGTATAAATTTATGGAGCATGCTGATGAAGGAATCAAGCTTTTCCACTCAATAGGGTAAATGAACTTAGTTGGAACCGTTCCGATATGTATGGCATAGTATTCAAACTATTGCAAGGCAAACATGGAGTTTTAATGAGTGCTACCTGTTGCCACTGAACTCAAGAACCGTCTAAAAATATTATTATAAAGATTAAATCTATCGGAAAGACTTCTATGGAGTTTGATGTAGAATCGAAGCATTCGCCATCTTACATCGAAATCAATTTAACTTAATATTCAATCACATCACATACACTTATCGCTAATTCATTCCATCTTAAGGTGAAAGTGACCTAGTGAATAAATAAAAAAAAATCAAAAATGGTTTTTTCTGAGACATCAGGTCAGATTGCAGAAAGCTCTCGTCGACATTTTCCATTTATTATTACACAAACGACGAGAACTTATTCCAATCTAAAGTGATGTCTCAGAGAAAACCATTTTTGATTTTTTTTTATTTACTCACTAGGTCAATTTCACCTTAATACCAGATGATGTCTAAGAAAATAGTCACCACAAACCACAAAGTGACGTATAGTAAATTGGTAAACGAAAAAGTGGCCTAAAGTGACTTGCAAATGTAGGAAAACAAGCATTTAGCAATTTTGGGATAAAATTCATCTCTAATTCAACAAATTCCATGCAATCAAATATAGGTCGATTTAACTGTTCCCGTTTCAAAGATTCCCAATTTCCTCAATGCACTTCTCATACTCTCAGCGCTAGCTGGCGTTGCTAGACCGCCGCTTCTCTCTTCGTTTACGCTGCAGCTCCGCCAAAATCTGCGTCACTGCTCTGTTGACGGCATTCTAAGTATCCTCTTCTCGACGCATTTCGTCAACGACATTCTCCACGTTAAGGACGGGCATCTCCCTTCATGCTCCGGACAGAGGGGTGACACTCCGACCGATGCAGGTATTTCCTGAAGCAGCCATGATCAGACAGAAACTGCGTTAGGTGGAAGTTGACTTCTCCGTGTTTTCTGTTCACCCAGGTCGAAAGAATCGGTATTAGTCTATGTGTCCATCTTCGCCGTGTTCTACTCATGTTGCCACCTACTCCATTCTCACAACTTTCCGTACTCTTCCGGCTTCTCTCCACCTGTAACACTTGGTGTCCTCCGCCAGGCTGATGCCGATAGGGATCATTCTGGCGATAACGCAGACTGCTTCCGACGAGATGGTTCTGTAGCTTCGCTCCTTACATCCAGTCGACTCCGAAGCCAACATTTCCACCGCAAAGTCAACGATCTCAACTGTTTGGGCAGCTTCAGCGTTAGCAAGCCGTTGTACATTCCGTTCCAGAGCAAGGATGGAGCCTTGTGGAGCTCCGGCTGTGATCCTAATCGATCTCTGTATCATGTATGTCTCGTAGACCATAAACCGGCTCTGGAAGTAGCTCATCAGGATCCTCATTATATGCAGCGCTTCGGCGATGGCCTCCCAGCTAGAGCTGTTGAACGCATTCTTGACGTCGATCGTATCTATCTCCTCTCCGCTTCTGTTTGGACGCCTTTTCGGCTCTCTCAACCAATGTCCGAATTGCATCTACCGTTGATCTCCCTTTCCGGAATACAAACTACCTCTCCGACAATCCGTGTATTTCGTCAGTCTGTTGAGGATGATCCTCTCCAAGTGAATTATGCAGCACGCATATAGGCCTATACGATGCTGGATCCCCAGTGGTTTTTTCTGGTTTCGGCAACAACACTAGTGGCTGGGGGTTATTCCGAGAGTCGAAGTGAGTTTTGTCACTAGTGAAGTTAGAAACGTCACGTCGTGGTGATGTGACTCTCTGTGCAAATCAAATGGAGAGTCACGTCACCATGACGTGACTTTTCTCACTTTACCAGTGACAAAAGTCACTTCGATTCTCGGAATAACCCCCTCTGTATCTTCCACCTGTGAGGGAAGTGACCCTCATCGAAGCATTTCTTGCATTGCAGCACCATCCTGAACATGTCCGGGGACGCTTGGATCGCCGCTTTCAACGCCACGTTGGAGATTCCATCCGGACCGGGAGCTTTATTCATCTTCAATCCTTTCGTCACTGCTACGAGTTCCTCGATGGTGATTTCGACGTTATATCGCTCTCGCTCTCTGTACGATGTAGGTGGCCGGGAAAAGCGAGGGGCGCAACTCTATCTAATATGCAGGAATAATTTCGCTTTGCTGTTGATGCGCGCAAGGTTTAGTATATAGAATGAAGATTGATTGAAGATTTCCTGCAAAAAGTTAGAGGGTGATGCGAGTAGATGGATGTAGATGCAAGAGATGAAACAAGACTTTTCGTAGATTGATTCGCTAACTTGTGATTTTCCGACCATCTAAAATTGAGATTTACATGTGTCGCTCCTCCAGGGGAAAAGTCCTTCCACGATGACTTTCAGCTTCTCTGGGCACATTTCTTCACCATCACGAGTTGGTATCGTCACCCCAGGGGCCATCCATAAGCGCCTCGACAACGCTCCTTAAAGCAGTTTGACTTGCTCTGCTTCATCTCTCGTTTAAAAGCGGCCCTGGCCTCTTCGTTCCTCTCTGTCTGTTTCTGAGACAACTAGTGCGGAGGGTGCTAAGTACCTCGTTTCACCAGTCAGCTGGACGCCGTCTGTTATTTGGCTCCAGTTACCTCGGCATGGTCGTTACTAACGTTTCGGCCAGCTCGTCCACGTTCAGATTCGCGGGGCCCCTTCCACATGGAATGTTTCAACGAAAATATCCTTGTCGAAAGCCTTCGTCTTCAACTTCCGGTCGCAAGTTATCGTCCTCTGTACTACCACAGTATTCCGGTGGCCGATGCCATATCGGATCACCTGATGGTCGCTATGATAATATCCTTCGAACACTCTCCAATTCATGTTAGCCACCAGCGACGGACTGCAGAAAGTGACGTCGATAATAGATTCCCGGCCATCCCTGCGAAAAGTGCTGCTGGTGCCTTCGTTGCATACCTTCCAGCTTTGCCAGAGCATTCAGCAAACTATGCTCTCTTGCGTTGTAACATCTGCTTCCCCACTCCACTCCCCAAGCATTGAAGTCTCCGACTACCGGTCTTCGTCCGATCAGCTCTTCGGTAAGTCCATGCAGCATCTCGTGGAACTGCTCCATCTAGGGGGGTGCGTAGCAACTGCATATGAAAATTTTGTTAATTTTGGCGATCACGACACCTTCGCAACCACTTCTTGAATGGGATATTTCCCCATAACTTTTATATCCGTCATCACAGCTCTATCCGCCAAGCAGTTACCGTTATCGGGAGGAACTCGATACTGTTCCGCAATGATTGCAACGTCGCACTATGTCTCTGTTGTCGACTGCCTCCACAGTTACTGTGCAGTGTCGCAATGCTTGAGGTTTATTTGGGTTACCTTCATTTTGTATGCTAGGCATTTGAAGTCCCCCGTCGTATGACCGTTTCCGTCCACTTTTTTTCAGAGCATGCACCTCTGTTGCTTCGTGCTTCCTTTTGCAATATGACCCTTCTCTCCGCATTTCCTGCACAGATCAGAACTGTCAGGGCCATTGCAGTTCTTCGCCTGGTGACCGAGACCCATACACTTGAAGCATCGCTCCAGTTGCTTGGTAACCCGAGGAACGGCTTTCAGTGAGCACACTGAAAGCCGTATCACCAACAATCAATACGAAACTAACGATTTTAAATTGGCTCACTACTTGACTAGCCTATTGGTCCCAAGGAAACGATTAACGTACCCCATTCTAGTCGAAATTCTAGTACTACGCAATGTTTGTTTTGATTTGCTATGAAAGTGTGACAGATAAAATGAGGGGTTATTGGTTTTTCCTATGTTTCGAGGGGTGAATCGATTAGCTTGGGACCGAAGAGAGTACCAGAGCTGAGCCAAAAAGTTGAGCACATTATTTCGGGACCTTCTAGTCTTAGAGTTACCTCCATGGTTTCACCGCTATTTGCATGCCACCGTACGCCTTCCACATCCAGATTGACATCGGGACATCTCCCAGATCACAGTGCACCTTCGACGCACTTCTCAGCTCCTCTTCTGTAGTGATCTCGCCACTCGACCACAGCCTCCTGGGATAGATCTCTTACGCTCACCCCTTCGCAAAGAGATTTTTTGACGATCTCCTTGAAGACTGGGCTCTTGATCCTTCTTCAGCTCAAAAAACAGCTCGCCTTTCTGGTTTTGCGAGAAGTGATGCGTACGTCATTTTATCCTTTGCTTCGACGATCAGAGCATCGCCCTTACTTCGCTCTCGACGAGGTTTGGGTTTCTCCTTCTTCTGTTCTTCTTCACTTATATATATCGACGATAAGTCATCCTTCCCATGTGTGCTTTGTCGTTATTGTGTTTTTTCAACTCCTCTTCCTCTCATGGCGTTTCCCTTTTCAGGGCTTTTTCGGCGTCTCCTGTTCTTAAATCGTTACTTTCTCCTTTGGCCTCGATCAGTGCCCTTTCGGCTATCTCAGCTCTCGTCTTCGTTGCACTTAGCCTTGACGAAGTCATGGAGTTCATAGATCCTCCTCCTGACCTCCATCATTATGGTCTTCCCAAGCTGCAGTCCTTCTAGGGGTGTGCTGCTGCTGAATTTCGGTGTGAACATCTGGT